TCACATAACATTTCTATTATATTTACTTTTAGGAACCTCATATCGTGAAATAGTGATTTTCGCCATATCAATTTATTTGTGGTTGAAGCCATAGCTCTGTATTCGGCCTCTGCCCTAGATCGAGTAATTACATTGTGTTTTTTGCTTTTCCTAGTACCTAAGGTTCATCTAGCTAATGTACAATAATTAGTAGTGGACCTCCATGTTAGGATTTATAAACCCTCTTAAATGCAGAAAACAAGAATCCAAAAGTTGGATCCTACCTAAATCATGTACTTATTTAGCTAGAAACAAAATAGGAGAGAGCATAAACCACAATATGAGAAGTATGAAACACACATCATAAGAATACAAAGATTTATGTGGTTCACTCCAAGAGGGCTACATCCACGGGCACGACAAATTGAAATTCACTATACCAATAAAAGTTACATCACAAATTTTAGGACAAGAGTTACCTCTTTAACCCTCAACAAAACCCAGTCGAGTAAAACTTTTTAGATCCACTCTCCTGATCAGGACTATCGTCGATCTTGTATCTCTATTCCACAGCTAAACCACTGTCGACCATCTCTATTCCATAGTTAAACCACTGTCAACGAGGAGAATATTAAGAGTAATCGAGACTTTCACTCACTAAAAGGGGAAACCACCTAAAATATTTATTAGAACTGTTTCTCTACAAGAAACCGGTCTCTCAATCCATAGGAGGCACAACATGGTGTTTATTTCCATAAGAAGCTCCCTTCTCTCTGAAGGGGAGGCTTGGCCTTTCATGCACAGGAAGCCCATGTCTCTCTCTCTCTCTCTCTCTCTCTCTCTAGAGGAAGTTACATTGCCCATATGGTGCCTCATTTAAGGTACAACTATTCTTTCCTCTTTTATCCTAATAAAAGGTTAGAAGTACACACCAAATAGGAAACATTTTATAGGTGTTATGTATATCTCAAGAACCAATAGATATATCCCAGAGTCTTAATCTTTTTGGCGTTCTATTTCATTTAGAAAATTATCAATATCAATCTCAATCCCACGTATTATGGGATTTCCTTATGTTGGTGATTTTTGGATATCACCATATCAAATACTCATGCTAATTGGGCTACCTTTTTAGTTACCATCAGAATAACCAATAATATTAGTGTGACCATTTGTTTTCATCCAAATACCTTTGTCGTGTGACAACTTAAGATATCCGAGAATCTTATTTACAACCTCTATACGACATGATCTAGGAGAATGCATAAATCGGCTTATAAGGCTAACCGCATATGTTATATTTGGTCGTGTCACAGTCAATCTGACCACAAGTCTATGAAAGCGACTCACATATTTAATTGGTTTTTCATTTCTTGAATCAAGCTTACAATTAATCTCAATAGGGATATTAACATGTTTGACTCCCAGATAGATATGCTCAATTTGTATCATTTTTGAAAATTGGAGTTTTATAACTAGATATTAAAATAGAGTGTCAAGCCATCATAAGATATCTGACACCAAAACTATATCTCTAAATAAATTTCAAATGCATGCTTTACTTTTTATGATATAAAGAGGGTGCCTTGTACATGGGGGTAGCCATGGACCAGAGATCTGTAGGGTATACCTGACATGGGTCTGGGTATAGGTCCAATATTTGGACTCGACGGATTGGGTCCGGGTCCAAAAACTGGACCCATACACTATTTGGGTCCAGTTGGATCCGAACCATACCTGACTTGTACCTGTAAACCGTTGGAGATAAAATACTTCAAACCGTATTCATTTGGGTGTTTTAAGGATCATATACAATAACAACTTGTAGTCATCTTTAGCTATTAAACGATAAATCATACAATTTGAAATCTAATGGCGGGTGATTGTAACATTAGTACCAATAATATGGGTATATGATAGTAAAAAAAGGGAAAAAAAAAAGAAAAAAAAAGCTCATAGTGAGGGTAACAATGGACCCGACCTAACCTAAGACCCGACGGATACAAGTATAGGTCCAACAGTTAGAACAGAGGAGTCGAGTTGGGTTCCAAAACCTAGACCTAGGTCTAGCCAGACCCTGCGCCACCCCTACTTGCACAAACCTCACCTATTTGAAACATTATTGCATGAAAGTGTAATTGTTCTTTAGCAAATCAGCCAGGGGTAGAGTTTGGAAATGCTAAAACAAGAGTGGCATTTTGTGAACAATCATGCTACAAGATTATCATGGTATTGTTTATATGGTAAAGTGAAATCATTTCTTCGAGACTAATAAAGGCCGTGTCGGCAGATACAAAAGTCGGCATGCACTTGGCAGAAGGGAAAGTAACGTCCATTCATTAATTAACATTATATACATTTTTTATGCTTTTTCTTCCCGTTTGCGAGTGCTACCGCTTTCTCTCTCCAGAAGGTGGACTAATAAATCTTCAAAATTCAAATAGAAAACGGTTAAATGAAGTGGACCTACACTTACACCAACGCCTGCCTTTCCTTCTCTCTAACGTTCACTTTTTAAAATCTCTCTCTCTCTCCTTTTGTTTTTTTGAGGGTTTTAAAAAACGCCGAGTCGTACCGGACTCGTCCGATTCGACTCGGAATTCGTAAAAAGGGACCGGATCGGTTGAAAAATCAGAAATCGTCCGGTTCTAGAGAGAACCGGATGATTCCGCACAGTGACTCGCCGGTTCACTGTACGGAATCGGCGAGTCCGTACGGATTTTTATTTTTATTTTTTTTATTATTTTATTTTATTTTATTATTATTATTTTTTTTTGTAATCCATGATAGATTTTTTTCTAATACTTGATCGATTTTTTTGTAATCCATGATCGAATTGTTTTTGTTTATTTGAAA